GCCACAGAAGCGGAGTGCACGAACTTAACCACTATGCCACCAGGCCAGCCCCCGTGCCAGTTTTTTAACCTAGATTATCACTGCCAAATTTTCTAACTAAAAAACCCCTACTCATGGTTTTTAATAATAGTATTTTACTAAATATTGGTTTCTGAATATACACCCAATATTTAATATTGTATTGATATACACATATATTAATATGAAATCAAATACTGGGGTCAAAACATGCAAAATATAGTAGTGATCCATAATCCATCTTAAGAAAAAAAATACATTTTAATCATTTATGGAGAGCCTGCATACTATACTAGATCCAGTTCCATTCTCTGCCTCCTCAGAGTGAACCATTCTCCTGTGCTTATCGTTGTATTCTTTCTCTTTATGATTTTACTACGTATATTTATATACAAAACAATAGAGCATTTAATTTTGCATGTTTTTGAAATTTAGACAAATAGAATTATGGTATATATGCACTCTGAGACTTTCTTTTTAGTTAATATTATGTTCCTGAGATTCACCAATATTGTCCCATAAAGCAACAATTCATTCTATATGACTATATTTAAAACTATTTTTCTATACTGCTGTTGATGGATGTTTTGGTTACTACATTGTATTTAAAAAAATCTTGTTGCTATGGACATTTTTGTACATTTTGTATGGCACATATGTAGAAGTTATTCTCTGGAATAAATGTAGCTGTGAAATTACTGAGCTATAAAGTATTTAGTTTTCAAAATTACTAGACAATGCTAGAATGGTTTCCAAAGCTAATTTATGAAAATTCACCACCTTTTGCAGTAGGTAATATTTATTGTTTCTCCACATTGTTACCAGCATTTAAAATTATTAGCCTTCTAAAATGTTTGCCTAGCTGGTGTATATCTAATGGGATTTACTTTGCAATTCTTTGATAACTAATGTTCAGTGGGTTTTCAGGCTTATAGGCCATGAACTTTCTTTACTTGGGATATCCTCGTTCAAAATATTTGTCCATTTTCATATTAGGAGGTTTGCCTTTTTTCTTCATTGGTTTAGGAGTTCCTTATCTTTTATTATCTCTATGTATTAAAATTTATTCTCCAAATTTGTATAACCAGATAAACTTAATGTCAATAGTTAAACTTATCATGAATATTTTTGACTATGAGCTGCTGCTTTATTATAAATCAGTAATTCCATTATATGAATCTATTTTTGATACATTTATCAAATAATTTATCCTTATACCCATAAATATTGTCTAAATTAATGTAGCTTTATGATAATGTTTGATATTTGGTAAGCTACATTTCTTATTGCATCCTCTTCATGGTCTTTTTAAATGTCTTCATTACTCTAGGACATTGTTCTTCCATACACATTGAGAATCAGCTTTTAAGGTTTCACATAAACCTGTGGTATTTTCATTGAACTTGTACGGAAACTATTGATGAATATTGGGAGAATTGATATGTTTATGATACTAAATCCTACAACCCAGGGTATGGTATAGTTCTCCATTTGTTTAAGTAACATTAATTAATTTAACAAAATGTAATCAGATTTTCTTTGAATGACAGTTTTATTTATTTTTACGATTCTTATACCTTTTATTGGTATTTATTAACTTATACTAGCTAGAAGCTCAAGAAAAGTGTTGAATAGAAGTGATATTTTGTATCCTTCATTTCCAAACTAGGAAAAAGTAACTGAATATTTTATTAAGTATTAGATTTACTGTAGACTTTTACTGATATATTATCAGAACAAAGAAAATCCTTTCTATTCCTAGTTTGCTAAGATTCCCTTTTTCTTTTTTTATTGAAGTAACACTGGTTTATAACACTATACAAATTTCAAGGGTACATCATTATATTTCAACCTCCATATAGATACATTGTGTTCACCACCAGAAGTCCAATAGCCATCTGTCACTGTACACATGTGCCCCTTTACCCCTTTCACTCTCTCCCCACCCCCTTCCCCTCTGGTACCCAGGAATCTATTCTCTCTGTCTGTGTGTTGATTGATTTATTTATCTTCCACATATGAGTGAAATCATATAATATTTGTTTTTCCCTATCTGACTTATTTGCTTTGGCATAATATACTCAAGGTCCATCCATGTTGATGCAAATGGCAAGATTTCCTCTTTTTTATGGCTGAGGAGTATTCTGTTTTATATACATGTATATATACATCATCTTCCTTATCCATTCATCCATCGATGGGCACTTAGGTTGTTTCCAAGTCTCGGCTACTGTGAATAATGCTGCAATGAAGGGGTGCATATATCTTTTTGAATTAGTGTCTTCAAGTTCTTTGGATAAATATCCAGAAGTGAAATACCAGGATCATATGATAGGTCTATTTTCAATTTTTTGTGGAATCTCCATACTATTTTTCGTAGTGACTGCACCAATTTACATTCCCACCAGCAATGTACTAGTTTCCCTTTTCTCCACATTCTCTCCAACACTTGTTATTTCTTCTCTTTTAGTAATAGCCATTCTGACAGGCATGAGGTAATATCTCATTGTGGTCTTGATTTGCACTTCCCTAATAATTAGTGACGTTGAACATCTTTTCACGTGCCTGGCGTTTGTATATCTTCTTTGGAAAAATGTCTGCTCAGATTCTCTGCCCATTTTTCAATTGAGTTATTTGGTTTTTTGTTGTTGAGTTGCATGAGTTCTTTATATATTTTGGATGTTAACCCCTTACCAGGTATGTGATTTGCAAATATTTTCTCCCAGTTGGTGGGTTGTCTTTTCATTTTGTTGATGGTTTCCTTTGCCATGAAGAAGCTTTTCAGTTTGATATAGTCCCATTTGTCTATATTTTCTTTTGTTTCCCTTGCCTGAGGAGATATGGTATTCAAAAAGCTACTGCTAAGACCAATGTCAAAGTGCATACTGCCTATGTTTTCTTCTGGGAGTTTTATGGTTTCAGGTCCTACATTCAAGTCTTTAATCCATTTTGAGCTAATTTTTGTGTATAGTATAAGATAACGATCTACTTTCATTCTTTTCTGTGTGGTTGCCCAGTTTTCCCAATACCATTTATGGAAGAGACTTTCCTTTCTCCATTGTTTGTTCTTAGCTCCTTTGTTGAAAATTAGCTGTCCATAGATGTGTATGTTTATTTCTGGGCTCTCAATTCTGTTCCATTGATCTCTGTGTCTGTTTTACTGCCAGTATCTTGCTGTATTGATTAATACAGCTTTGTAGTATATTTTGAAATCCGGGAGTGGGATACTTCCAGCTTTGTTCCTTTTTTCAGGGTTCCTTTGGCTATTTGAGGTCTTTTGTTGTTCTGTATAAATTTTAGGATTCTTAATTCTATTTCCATGAAAAATGTTGTTGAGATTTTGATTGAGATTGCATTGAATCTGTAAATTGCTATAGATAATATGGACATCTTAACCTGTGTTAATTCTTTCCATGAGCCCAGAACACCTTTCCATTTCTTTGTGTCGTCTTCTATTTCTTTGAACAATGTCTTATAGTTTTCAATGTACCAGTCTTTCACCTCCTTGATTAAATTTATTCCTAAGTCTTTTATTCTTTTTCTTGTGATTGTAAATGGGAGTGTATCCTTGATTTCTCTTTCTGCTAGTTCATTGTTATTCTATAGAAAAACAATTGTTTTTTGTATGTTTATTTTGCACCCTGCGTCTTAAAAATTATTTAATAATTAAATAATTAAATAAATTAATTATTTCTAATAGTTTTTTCATGGATTCTTAGAGTTTTCTATATATAAAATCATGTTATCTGCAAATAGTGACAGTTTTACTACTTCCTTTCCAATTGGATCCCTTTTATTTCTTTTTCTTGCCTGATTTCTCTGGAAAGGACTTTCAATACTATGCTGAATAAGAGTGTTGAGAGTAGGCATCTTCATCTTGTTCCTGTTATGAGAGGGATAGCTTTCAGTTTTTCACCATGAGTATGATGTTAACTGTGGGTTTGTCATATACAGCCTTTATTATGTTGAGGTACTTTCCTTATGCCCATTTTATTCAGAGTTTTATCATAAATAGATGCTGAATCTTGTTGAATACTTTCTTTGTGTTTATTGAGATAATCATGTGATTTTTATTCTTCATTTTGTTAATGTGGTGTATGACACTGATTGATTTGCAGATGGTGAACCACTCCTCTATCCCTGGAATAAATCCCACTTGATTGTGGTATATGATCCTTTTAATGTATTATTGTATTTGGTTTCCTAATATTTTGTTCAGAATTTTTGCATCTATGTTCATCAGCAATATTAGAATCCAATTTTCCTTTTTTGTGTTGTTCTTGGCTGGTTTTGGTAGCAGGGTAATGTTTGCCTCATAAAATGTGTTAGGAAATTTCCTGTCCTCTTCAATTTTTTGGAAGAGTTTGAGGATATGTATTAAATCTTCTTTGAATGTTTGGTAGAATTTATCAGAAAAGCCGTCTGGCCCTGGATTTTTGTTTTTGGGGAGGTTTTTGATTACTGTTTCAATCTCCCTACTAGTGATTGACCTATTCAGATTCTGCATTTCTTCTTGATTCAGTTTTGGGAGGTTGTATGATTCTAAGAATTTATTCATTTCTTCTAGGTTTTCTAGTTTGTTGATGTATAGCTTTTCATAGTATTCTCCTGTAATCCTTTGTATTTCTATGACTTTCCATTGTAATTTCTCCTCTTTTATGTCTGATTTTATTTATTTAAACCTTATCTCTTTTTTTACTTAATGAATCTAGCTAAAGGTTTCCTAATTTTGTTTTTCTTTTCAAAGAACAGGCTCTTAGTTTCATTGATTTTTTTCTATTGTCTTTTCAGTGTCTATTTCATTTGTTTTCTCTCTTTTATTATTTCCTTCCTTCTATTGACTTTGGGCTTCATTTGCTCTTCCTTTTCCAGTTCTTTTAGGTTTAGTGTTAGATTGGTTTTTTGAGATTTTTCATGTCTCTTGAGGTAGGCCTGTATTACTGTATACTTCCCTCTTAGTACTGCTTTTCCTGCATCCCATAGATTTCGGTATGTTGTGTTTTAATTTTCATTTGTCTCCAGGTATTTTTTGATTTCTCCTTTAATTCCTTTATTGATCCAATAGTTCTTCAGTAGCATGTTCTGACTTTCACAGCTTTCTTCTTGTAGTGGATTTCTAGTTTTATACCATTGTGGTCAAAAAAGAGTCTTGTTATGATTTCAATCCTCTTAAATTTATTGAGACTTGTTTCCCAATATATGGTCTATTTTCAGAATATTTCATATACACTTAAGAAGAATATGTATTCTGTTACTTTTGAATGGAATGCTCTATATTAAGTTCATCTGGTCTAATGTTTTATTTAAGGCCAATATCTCCTTGTTGACTTTCTGTCTAGATGATCTATCCATTGATGTAAGTGGAGTATTAAAGTCCTCTACTGTTACTGTGTTGCTGTCAATTGCTCCCTTTAGACCTGTTAATAGTTGCTTTATATACTTTAGTGCTCCTATGTTAGGTGTTTTTGTTTATTTGAAAATATTTTTTTTGCCCTTTTCACAAATTCTACAGAGGCAATATTTCATCATTTCAAAGATACATGTTCATTTTCTTCTAACTTGCATTATTATTTCTGAGAAGTCTGTGGTGGACTGACTTTACAGTGGATCACAATTATCTCCACCTCCTGGTACTCCTTATGTACTTCTTGTGTAGCTTATCACTCTTAAGTGTGGGCAAGACCTGTGATTTCCTTCGAAACAATATAATTTGATAAAAGTTGTCACATCTATGATTCTATTACATAAGAATGTAATATTAGTCTTGTAAGCTGACTCTTTCCTTCATTGGCTTAGAAGAAGCAAGCTGCCATGCTGTAAGCTGCTCTATGGCAAAGAGCTTAAGGTAGCCTTTGGCTAACACGCTGTCAATCTGGAAGCTTGCATGGAACCGAATGATGCCAACAATCCACATGAGCTTGGAAGCAAATCCTTCCCCAGTTGTGCTTTCAGATGAGGACACCGACCTGGCTGACACTTTCTTTCATTGCAGCCTTGCAGAGAACCAAGTTAAGTCAGATTTTTGCCCACATAAACTGTGAGATGATTAATGTGTATTTATTTTTGCTGCTGAGTTTATGGTACTATTCTTATGCAACAATATGTGAAATATATATTTTTAATACTTGGAAGTAGGATTCTGTGGTACCAAATATCTAACTATGTGGAAGTGGTTTTGAAACTGGGCAATGTACTGAGGCTGAAGGAATTTTGATAATATAGTATATAAAGTCTAATTTGTTTTGAACAGTCTATTATTATAAAAATCTGTACTTTGAGGATATTTTTGCGAGGATGCAAAAGGAAGTGAAGAACATGTTACTGGAAACTGGTGTTTCCAATGTGCAGTGGCAGAAAACAACAAAAGTGTTGCTTATGGTTAGGTAGAAAACAGAACATTTAAGTGAAAAACTTGATTAGGTAGCTAAGAAGATTTTCAGGCAAAGTGTTGAAACTTCTGCTTGGTTTCTTCATGTTTCTTATAGTAAAATATAATAGAAGAGAGATAATTTGAGGAATTACTTGTTAAATAAAGAGGAAACATAATTTGATTCTCAGCTTCTTCAAATTCACAGGAGATCCAAAATTAATTGAGAAAATTATTTCAGTGAAAACTTTGACAGCTTGGTTGAAAGAGACAGAAGGAATACAAAATGAAAAGAGCTTTTTGGGGCCCCAAAATTCTATTCTCAGACAACAGGCTGGTAAACCTACTCAGCAGCAAATGTGTGATACATGTCACTAAATAGGAACGATGACTCAGAGGGCAGAAACCAGAGTCCAGAAGGCAAAGCTGAAAACCAATGAGAATTATTCCTAGGCTTTAAATCCTAATCAAAGAATCCCCAACATTTGTCAAACTGGATTTCAGAATTGCTCTAGACCAGTGGCAACTTTAGACCTCCAAATTTACCCCTTTTTGAAGGGTAAGTTTTACAGATTTTATCCTACACCTATTTCCCCATTATATGTTAGGTGTATGTGTGGGAATAGATGGTAATTTGTAGCAGATAAACTCTAAGATGGGCCTCAATTATCCCTGCATATTTGTATAATATCCTCCTCTTAAGTGTGGACAAGACCTATGGCTTGCTTCTAACCAAAGTAATATTAATTTTGGTGTGTTTTTTTCCAAATCACAAATTCTCATTTAAGTCCCATTTGCTACAAGCCTAGCTATTAGTTTCTCATTTAGTTTCTTTTTTCTTGGAGAATTATTGTTTGTTTTTGAATCTACTTTATTATTTTTTAGTCATTTGATTTTTACTTGCATATCCAGTCCAATCTTTTGTTTCATCAAGCATGTTAACTATTTCATATTCTTGACTTCCAATATCTGAAGTGATCATAGCAGTAAGGATCAGCCTGTTTATTAGTTTATCCTTGCTCTTATTCATGCTTCCTTGTTTACTTGTATTTTTGAACTCCTACTTTTTGGAAAGTTACATGTTGATTTTGTGGAGACCTAAGTTGTAATTTGGTTCCTTAGACAAGATGTGTGATTGCTTCTGGAAAATAATTGTGGACAATACAATTTCCACTACTACTTTACAACATATTCATAGCTTGAAATTTAATGAAAAACAAGGTGTCTTGTATTAGGGTTGAAAACTTGGCTGGGGGCTTGCTTGTATCTACCAAATCTCTGGAGAGATTTTCTTGTCCATTTAGCAATATGCTTCAGGCAGGATATTTTCTTTGAAATCTTCTCAGCAGCAGGCAAGATTACTTAAAATTTGTACTCAAATTATTGCCCTGGGCTACAGGATACTAATTTTTTGAAAAGAGAGAGGGAAGCAGGTGTCTTCTACTATAGGTAGGTCCTGCACCAATTTTCTCTGAGGCCATGAAAAAAAACTTGAATTCACCCACTTTTTCAAATGACTTCAAGACAAATGCAAGTTTCTTCTATGCTTCCCACTATAGGTTCCTGCTTTCGCTTAATTCTGGCATCAATGTATTTACTATAAACATTTAAATGAGTGTTTAACAAAACATTTTAACGAGGTTTTTACATGTTTTCAGAAGATGGGTTGATCAGGGTAACAAATCAGACAAGTGCTGGAAACAGAATTTCCTCCTAACTTTTCATAACTTTATTCAAATTTCACATACTTCATAACTCAAGTCCCAAGGTCTTTAATCTTCTTTAAATTCTTTACTTACAGTCTAAAACACTGCTATTGACTGAACTGTGTTCCTTCAAAATTCATAACTCCCAATGTGACTATATTTGGAGATAAGACCTATAGGTAGGTAATCAAGGTTAAATGAGGTCAAAAGTGTGAGGTGCTCATATAATAGGACTATTATCCTTATAAGAAGAGACCCCAGAGCACACACACATTCTCGCTCTCTCTCTACCATGTGGGGACACAGTGAGAAGATGTCCATGTACAAGCCAAGAAGAGAGCTCTCACCAGAAACCAAATTGACCAGCACCTTGATCTTGGACTTCCTAGCCTCCCAAACTGAGAGAAGTAAATTTCTCTTGTTTGAGCCACACAGTCTATAATGTTTTTTATGGCAGCCTGAGCAGGCAAATACAGATTTTGGTACTGGAAGTGGTGTGCTGCTGTAACAAACACTAAACATAGACACAGCTTTGGAACTAGGTAATGGGTAGAGACTGGAAGAGTCTTGAGGTGCATGTTAGAAATATGGCTGTTAGGGTAATTCTATAAGGTCTCAGATGAAAATGAGGAATGTGTTATTGAAAACTAAAGGAAAGGTGATTTTTATTATAAAATGACAAAGAACTCAGACGAACTGTGTTCTAGTGTTTTCTAGAAGGTAAAAGTGTAAGCAGTGAAATAGGGTATTAGCTGAGGAGATTTCTAAGCAAAATTTTGAAGGATCAGCTTGGTTCCTCTTGACTGCTTATAGTAAATTATGAAAAGAGAGATAAATTGAAGAAGGAATTGTTAAGCAAAAAGGAACCAAAACTTGAAGATTTAGAAAATTCTCAGCCTATCCATATTGAAAAAAAAAAAAAAACTTGTTCTGAAGAGGACCCTAAGGGTGTGGCTGAACAATCATTTCATAAAGAGATTATGGGTGTGACTTACAGCCTCATCATCCATTTCAGCAGAAGCCAGGAATGGAAATTGGGTTATACAAGCAAAGACACTGCTAGTTTGAACTAAAGGGGACAGAGAAAGTGGGACAGAATGAAGGAAGTCTGTCAGATTTCTTAGATTCTGCAGAATCAGATCATAGAGCTATTTGGCTATGAATGTTGTGCCATTTTTTCAAGGAAGAGAAGAATAACCCTGATGGTGATTCAGAGATTAGAGTGCTACATGGATCCTTAAAATACAAGGATTTATGAAAGACTCTGTTCTACTAGTTAACATTTTATTTGTTCAAAAAAAATCTTAAGAACACCTACTTTTCTAACCCCAAAGCACAATGCATATTATTTTCCATCAAGTTTAATATTCAATAAATGTTTGATAATTGATTTTTATTGGAAGTGAAAAAACTTTTCCAACAGGAACATGACTTTCTGTCTCTTTTCTACTTTTAGTGATTCTTAAACTTTACTTTTTGTTGGCCATAGATGGATTTGGCTGGCAGATGAATCCATCTTATGGTTCTATTAAGATAAAAATCTCTGCTCTAGAAAAAACTTAGAGGGGTGAGATTCTTCTGATGACTAGATGCTCCTATTCTTACAATGACATTAGACTGAGATAAAATAGGTCATGGCTTGTAGTCACATAATTGAAATGCTTCTTGCCCTAAGTACATTATTGGTCCATATTTAGGTCTGAATTTCAGCTGGAAAACAAGGATAATTTTTCTGTCAAATAACTCCAAAATGTTGTTGCAAATGTACTCTTAATTTCAATTTTAAGGAGATTATTAGGCAAATGGTTATTTAATACAAAGTTGTTAATACTTCACGTTGACTTTCTTGAAAATTACAAAAACTAATCCTACAGTAGGTGGTCCTTGGCATATTGGATTTTGCAAAAATATCATCTCTGTCTCTCTCTCTTTATTTATTTTTCTGACATTACTTTTCTAAAAAACAATTGTTGAATCAAGGGCAGGAGTTCTGGTCTTGACCCTACAATGAATACAAAGATTTTCTTTGGCTAGGTCTCTACTGTTCTCTAGGCCTGAATTTCCTTTAATATAAAATGAGACTTCTAGTAAATAGACTATCATACCTTCAATTTCCCCTAGACCCTTAGATTTTCTGCCATATATATCACGATTTTGGTTGTATAGTACAACCTTATTTCTTCTATATAGCTACTCAGTCACTTTACTGGTTACCATGACACTTTTCCCCTACATGCTCTTATTGTTATTAAGAGCCCCAAAGAAACAATTGTTCAAAATTTAAAGATAATTTCCCTTTTATGGAATCATCATAGCCCTAGATATAATCATTGGAATAGCAGGCCTCAGAGTTCTAGGAATGAGAAACAAAAATATTGAAAGGGATTGTGTGGGGACAATCATAGGAGGTACATATCTGCATCTTGATTCCCAAGCCCACGTCCTCCTGAAATAGGAACACAGTGCCATACGTATAAAAAATGACCTTGGAAATTTCCTCTAGTTACAAGGAGATAATGAAATATGTCATTGGGTATTGTAACTACAAGTTAGATTTTCATTCTATGATTCTCATTTCCATTTCTGTCGGGTTCTAGCATACCACACTATGTAAACTCAATCTTTTTGCTTTTTTTCAACTTGTCTTAACACTTAGGCAAAAATTGTGCTTAGTATAACAACATCTTGTCATATAGTTTTATTGTATCTTTGTGCCCTGAGGGAAGAAAAAGAGAGCTCCAAGATGCAGTGGAAAAGAAATGTTTTGGTGAAAAGAGAGTTAGAAATGGTGTAGAGACCATTCTTTTTCCAACCTGCTTCAACCTCTAGAAGTGTGAGTAGAGTGGGCAATGTAATAGATTTACTCACAAGGAAGCTTCCCTCAGTTCCCACAAGACAAGGTGGTGATGAACAAATGTTTTTCTGGAGATTCTGGTATAGAAACGTTAGAGGAAATCAAGACCATGAACATCTACTGAGAGGCAGAGTAAGTGCAAAAAAGATGCATATTACCAAAATGATGTGGTAAACTTCATCTGAGGGAACAAGTGGCTAAATCTCATTGGATCAGTAGAGCTAGAGAGAGCTGAGTCAAGGAAGATTATATACTTTTTGGCCTGCAAAAATTTAACTGAGAGAGCAATATCAATTTCTGAAAAGGGCTTGGCAACATAATCAAGACAGATAGACACACACAAATATCTATTTCCACCTCATCATTGGCAGGGTGTTATTGGTGAAAAATTTAAATTTATGTTTAAATTATTAAGCCAAATTTGCTAAGAAATTAATGGATTTGAGTAATAAATCAGTTCTGAATAAATTAAACTCCTTGCCATCAGTAAAGCTAAGGGTTTAGATTCTGAAATTAAATTGTTTTAGAAAATATGCCTTTCTGAATGGTTGAATTATATTGTTATAACTATAAAAGTCAAATTGATATACTTACAACTTTTTTTGTTCATTTAATTGTCACATCAGTTATTTGCATGATATAGACCACAAGAGGTTGAAAGTTAACTCAAATTTGGAGTACTAAGTGTCACTAAGCTGAAAAAATCACCACTTTCCTATAACATTGTGATAAAAAACGTGTTTTGAGGAGGAAAGTAATAGATCTATTCAAATTAAATTTGCTCCATGTAAAGTAAAAGTTATTTGCTAAAGAAAAAACTTCCACAGATGTTTTGTTTATTTGTTTAGTAAAATTATATTTTAAAAAAGGAAGATTACAAAAAACAGAAATGATATAAAAAGAAAGCCTGTACTTTGTTTTGCCAAAAACAGGTAAATTACATATTCATCATGCATCATGCAGTGATATTAAGGGTGGTAAAAACTGCCAAATGTTTCAAAACATTGTCAAAAGTCATAGAGTTAAGAGTGATTTAACTGATTGAGTTCACGTGCAGTGAAAAATGAGATGGTACGAACATCTATCTGTTGATTTTTTCCAGCTGATTTTTAAGACACATTATATTCAAACACTATGTAATTTAATTAAAGAAAAAATAAGTAGATACAGGTTTAACCAAATAAGAAAAGAGGATGAAACCACAGTACCTATTATAAATATTTGGTATGTTCTCAGGACATTAAAATGATGTACCATCTGAGCACTTAAAATGAAAAGCTGTGTGTCCCTATGATGTATTTAACCAATAATGGTTAAATTGGATTCAGAGGATTTTTTAAAAAAATTAGTTAACAATTTTTTTAAGGAGTCTTAAGTCACAGCAAAATTGAACCAAAATTGAGCAAGAATGTTCCCATATTACCCCCTGTCCCTAAGTATGCAAAAATTCCCCTATTGACATCCAGCACTCTAGTGGTACATTGGTTAAAATTGATGAACCTACATTGACACATTATTATCATACAGCATCCATAGTTTACAATAGGGTTCACTCTTGGTGTTGTACATTCTATGGGTTTGGATAAAGATATAATGACATATATCCACTGTAGTATTACATTGAATAGTTTGGTTGTCCTAAAAATTCTCTGTATTCCATCCCTCCCTCCTGCTAACCCTGACGACCACTGATCTAAACGAATACCATTCGTTTAGAATCATGCAGCATATAGCCTTTTCAGATTGGCTTCTTTCACTTAGTAATATGCGTTTAAGTTTCCTCCATGTCTTTTCATGGCTTGATAGGCCCTTTCTTTTTAACGTTAATTAATTTTCCATTGTCTAGATGTACTAAAGTTTATTTATCCATTCGCCTGCTGAAGGACATCTTGGTCGCTTTCAAGTTTTGGCAATTATGAATAAAGCTGTTATAAACATTCACATTCAGGTTTTTGTATGGACATAAATTTCAATGCATTTGAGTAAATTCCAAGAGCACAATTGCTGGATCACAAGGTAAGGATATATTTAGTTTTCTAAAAACTGCCAAACTGTCTTACAAAACAGCTGTGCCAATTTGCTTTCTCGGGGGCAATGAATGAGAGTTTCTGTGGCTCCACATCCTTGCCAGCATTTAGTGTCAACAGAGTTTCAGATATTGACTATTCTAACAGGTGTGTAGTGATAATTCATAGCTATTTTAATTTGGAATTCCCTAAACACATATGATGTTGAGCACCTTTTTATATGCTTATTTGCCATGTGTATATCTTCTTTGGTGAGATCACTGTTAAGGTCTTTTACCTATTTTTTAATCAAGTTGTTCATTTTCTTGTTGAGTTTTAAGAGCTCTTTGTGTATTTGTATAATAGTCCTTTATCAGATATGTCTTTTGCAGACATTTTGTCCAACTCTGTGGCTTGTCTTTTCATTCTCTTGACATTGTCTTTCACAGAGCAGTCGTTTAATTTTAATGAAGTCTAGTTTTTCAATTTTTTTAATGGATCATGCCTTTTGTATTGTATCTAAAAGGACATCACCATACATAATGTCATCTAGGTTTTCTTCTGTTATCTTCTAGGAGTTTCATAGTTATGTCTTTCACATTTAGGTCTGTGATCCATTTGGAGTTAATTTTTCTGAAAGGTGTAAGTTATGTGTCTAGATCCTTTTTTTTGCATGTGAAAGCCCAGTTGTTCTAGCACCATTTGTTGAAGAGTCTATGCTTGCTCCAATATATTGCCTTTGCTCCTTTGTCAAAGATAAATTGACTATATTTATTGGGGTCTATTTCTTGGCTCTTTATTATTATGTTCTATTGATCTATTTGTCTATTCTTTTTGCTAATATCATACTGTCTTGATTACTCTAGCTCTCTAGTAAATCTCTAAGTCAGACAGTGTCAGTCCTCTGACTTTGCTCTTCTCCTCAAACATTGAGTTGGCTAATCTGGGTTTTTTTCCCACTCCATTTAAACTTCAGAATTACTGATATGCAGCAAATACTTGGGAACTGGGAAAATAATTGCAGGTGAGTCCAAGATTCTATTGGGTCCACTCTGAAGCAAACTTGGATCAAAATACCTTATATTAGTTGGTCTTCATGAGATTCCTCCATAACATTATAGTAAAATTACAGATGCTTTATAATCATTCACAGCTTAAGTTCAGGAATAAAATTTCTGGGCTCATATCTATGTTATGTTACTTACTAGATATATAACCTTGCAATGGTCAAACTCTCTGTTCCGTAATATTCTCAGGTCTAAAATGAGAAAAATAGTATCTATTCCATAAGGTTGTAGTAAATATTAGATTAATTATGAAGTATAGCATTTATAATAGTTTCTGGCTCTCTTAGAACTTACTAGTACAGATCTTCCATTTATGATGGGGTTATATCCCAATAAACCCATCCTAAGTTGAAAATATCATAAGTCAAAAATGTATTTAATATACTTCACTTACCTAACATCAGAGCTTAGCCTGGCCTCCCTTAACATGCTCAGAACACTTACATTAGCCTACAGTTGGGCAAAATCACCTAACACAAAGCCTATTTTATAATAAAGTGTTGAATATCTTGTGTAATTTATTGAATACTGTACTGAAAGTGAAAAACAGAATGGCTGTGTGGGGACAGAATGGCTAAGTGTATCAGTTGTTTACCCTCATGTTTGTGTGGCTGACTGGGAGCTGAGGCTCACTGCCACTGCCGAGCGTCACAAGAGAGTATTATATCATATATTGCAAGCCTCTGGAAAAGATCAAACTTCAAAATTTGAAGTGTGGTTTCTACTGAATGTGTATTACTTTTACACCATCATACAGTCAAAAAATTGTAAGTTGAACCATGGTAAGTTGGAAACTATCTGTACTTGTTTCAGAGGGCCTACCATTTCTATTGTGTTAAGTTCCTATTGTTCCTGTCATATTTCTATGTTGCAGTAAGACAGGAGTGTATGCCTAGCCCTCTGTATTTGTGTTTTCCAGTTTACTAGTGAAGATGCCTTTTACTCTCTCTCTGTTTTTACACTTAGATCACAAAAATCCATTCTCCAAATAGCAGGTGAAATGTATTTAAAAATATAAATAATTCAGGCTACATCTCTGCTTAAAAACCATCAAGTTCTTCCGATTGCTCTTACAATAAAATCCCCAAATTTTCTATAACCTGTAAGATTTGGCCCAATTAACTATCACCTCTTCAGAGAGCCCTTTTTAAACTATTTTAAGAGTAAATCCCAGCACCAATATTCTACCAGCACTATCAATACACACACACACACCCCACACACATTTTTCCCCATAATAATAACCTATTATAAAACATTTTTCAGTTTGTTATTTTGTGGTTTATTTGTTTACTGGATTATTATTTCTATACCTACTTAGAAAGTAAACTCCATGAAATTAGGAACTCTGACTTTCTTGTTCATCAATCTATTAAATCTAATACAAAGCTTGATACATGGTATATAATGTAAATATTCATTATATAAAAGAATATAAATAAGAATAGTTCCCTGTGGGCTGCCTAATAATCCTGTTCCAAGAGATTCCATATAACAGTACCAATTGGTTTTTTCAGCTAAATGGTCATGACCTAGGATTGCGATTTACTTTTACCTAATCAAATGTGGACAGATTTTAACTTTTCAGATATCTCTCTGGTGAGGAACATGACATAGGTGGAGGAAATCAGATGGAAACGAGCTAGACAACATAAAATTATTTTTTCCCAAGTTTATATCAGTACCTTACTGCTCTGATTCCCATTGAGATGTAGATTACAATTACCTAAGAAATTTTAGTTTTCTTTTAAAATTGATGTGTATATCCAGATCTACGAAGTAAGAATTTCCTAACTATAGGCAATCACCTACGTTTCCACTGAGTTCTACAGATTATCCTGCTTTGCATTCTGCCTGTAAATAGGGCAGCATTGGATCCAAATGATAGTCAGCCTTTAGAACAAGATGTAAAACCACAGCCTGCTATTTGTGTTAATCCACTGAATATGAAATATCTGTTGAGACTTCCCAAAGCAATCAATTCAGAATGATCTATACTTCCCAATGGAAGTATCAAATCAGACTGAATTAGATGAGTTAGATGTACTGTGCAAAAGCCATTATTTATCTCCAAAAGAGTGAAGTAGGGCAAAAATCATACACATTATTTTACACAGGTTGTAAGAAAACTGTGGATTAATAATAGATTTCTCTCTCAGAATTTTGAAAATCTCTCGATTGGAGGAAGACAGACTAAATTAAATAAATAACTAAGTCATATAGTAGGTTACAAAGTGATAAAATATTGTGAGAAAAAAATAAAGGAAGTAGGGGAAATATGATGTGCTGGGGATAGTGGTTACAATTATAAGTATGGTGGCCAGGTGGGGTCTCAATGAGAGGGTAATATTTAAGTAAACATTTGAAGAGCTTGAGGAAGTGAGCCAGGCTCTTAGTATGAGAAAACTTCAGGAAAAATAGTGCAAAGACCTTGAAGTAGGAGTATGTCTGAGTGTTCAGGGACAGCAAGGCTGCTGAGTAGAATAAGCAAGAGCTGAGGAATAGGAGGTAAAGTTAGAGAATTAGGAAAGGACCAAATTTTATAGGACCTTGTATGACATTTACTTAGAGTAAAATGTAGTGCCATTGAGGGAGCTGAGGTTGAAAATAGAGAGACATGATGAGATTAAATATTCAACAGGATCACTGTGGCTGCTTTGTTGAGAATAGAGAGTAAGATTGTAAGAGTAGAAGCAGGAAAAACAGATGGGAGGCCCTTACAATCACTTGGGTGAAAGAAAATTATGTCTTGAACTAAAGTGATAGTGATGGAGAAGGTTTTGTTGACAGATTTGAGGCTTAATTGGGAGAATTTCCTAAATAATTGAATATAAAAGAAAAAAAGTTCCCTAATCTTAAGGACATTAACTGAGATTGGGAGACAGTGTTAGGAACAGGTTTAAATGAAAAGAATCAGGGCTGGACTATGTTATTTTGAGATGCCCTTTAGGCAATCAATTTAATTTGTAAATACAAGAGGGGACATAGATAGAATTTTATTGGACAAGATATAGAGAACTGAGCTTCATAAAAGTAGTGGAATTTTTTTTTAACTATTTCACCTATATTTGAACCAAATATTTTCAAGGTGATTTCTTAATAAAATATTTAAGCAGTTGTGCACCCCCAGGCCTAGCAACCAGCCACACTGGGTGCCTGACTTACTCACCTGTAATCCCACAGTAGTTGTGCATTACCAGACCTTGCAGCCAGCTTTGCCAGGGGCTTGTCATGCCCAGTAATGTGCCTGTAGCAGCTGCATGTGTCTGGGCCTCACAATCTGCTGTCCCAGGGACCAGCCCAATCTACCCATACACCTGCAGCAATAGCAGCCCTGCCACAACAGAAGGGCACATGCAGCCCACAGAGGGGACACCCTTGGAGCATTTGGCATGGGTGACAAGATGGGAGCATGCTGCTGGGCCCCATAAGACATATTCTACATAAAGCCACATTTCCAAGATCTGGAGACATTACTGGTCTACCTACTAAATAGAAATAAGCACAGACAAGTAGGCAAAATGAGAAGACAAAGGAATATATTCCAAATAAAAGAACAGGGTAAATTCTCAGAAAAATAACTAAATGAAATAGAAATAAACTCTTTATTTACCTTTCAAGGATTACAAACTTGTGGTCCTAAGAATTTTCACTGAACTGGGCAGAGAAATAGATGAATACAGTGAGAACTTCAACAAAGAATTAGAAAATATAAAAAAGAATCCATCAGAGCTGAAGAATACAATAATGGAAATGAAAAATTCCTTGGAAGGAATCAACAATAGAGTAGATGACACAGAAGAATGGATCAACAATCTGGACAACAGAGTAGAGGAAATAAATACACAAAATATAAAAAGAAAGGAACTCAAAAATAATACTAAAGAAAGTCATCAAAACACAAGGGAAGAGAGCAAGAGAAGAAGATAGGAACAGACAAGAACTACACAAACATTCAGAAAAAAAGTAACAAAATGGCAATAAGTACATAATTATCAGTAGTTACTTTAAATGTAATTGGGCTAAACGATCTAATCAAAAGACATAGGGTGGGTGAATGGGTTAAAAAACAAGACCAATATATATGCTGCATACATGAGACACACTTCATACCTAAAGACACTCACAAACTGAAAGTTAAGAGATAGAAAAAAGATATTCCATGCAGATGGAAGTGAAGACAAAGCTGAGGTAACATACTTATATCAGACAAAGTAGACTTTAAAACAAAAGCTGTAACAAGTGACAAAGGACATTACATAATGATAAAAGGAACAATCCAACAAGAAGATATAACACTTGTAAATATCTATGTGCTTAACATTGGAGGACCTAAATACGTAAAGCAAATATTAACAGACATAAAATGAAAAATTGACAGTAACACAACAATAGGAAGGGACATTCACACTCCACTTACATCCATCGATAGATCATCCAGACAGAAGGTCAATAAGGAAACATTGGTCTTAAATGACACACTAGACCAGATGGACTTAATAGATATATACAGAACATTCTATCCCAAAACTGCAGAATGCACATTCTTTTCAAATGCACATGGAACATTCTCCAGGATAGATAACATATTAGGCCACAAAACAAGTCTCAATAAATTTAAGAAGATTGAAAAAATTTTTTGACCACAACAGTATGAAACTAGAAATCAACTACAAGAAGAAAGCTGAAAGAGTCACAAATATGTGGAGATTAAACAAAACGTTACTGAACAACTATTGGGCCAACAAAGAAATGAAAGGAGTAATCAAAAAATAGCTGAAGTCAAATGAAAAGTAAAACACAACATACCAAAATCTATGGGTTACATCAAAAACTATACTAAGGAAATTTTACAGCAATATAGGCATACATCAAAAAACAAGCATCTCAAATAAGCAATCTAAAATTACACCTAAAACAAATAGAAAAAGAAGGACAAATAAAGCCCAAAATCAGTAGAAGGAAGGAAATAATAAAAATCAGAGTGGAGATAAATGAATTAGAGATGAAAAAGACTATAGAAAAAAATCAACAAAACTAAGAGCTGGTTCTTTGAAAAGATAAATAAAATTGACAAACCTTTAGCTAGACTCACTAAAAAAAAAAGAGAGAGAGAGAAGGCCCAAATAAAGAAAATCAGAAACAAACGAGGAGAAACAACAATGAATACCACATAAATAAAAGGGATTATAAGAGGAGGCGGAGTCAAGATGGCGGCGTAGGCAGACTCTGAACGCACCTCCTATCGTGGACACAGCCAATTTACAGCTACTCGTGGAAAAATTACCCCTGAGACAGAACTGAAAACTGGATAAGAGGAAC